AACCCAAAAACAAAATTCAAACTACTTGCAAAAATTGAAATAAACCCTCTCATTCATATCTCTCTCTCTCTCTCTCTCAACTTCTCATTGGAAAAAACTAATATATGGTCGGTTCCAGTGGACCCATCGAAAAAAGTGGGGGTATGGAGAGTTGTTCAAGGCGACTGTCACGGTGGAGCTTTCCATGGTTGGGGTGATTGAGGTGAATGTCACCAGCTCACCATTTTTCACCCACTCGTTTTCTCAAGAACAGGCTGGTGAAACTAATGGTGACAAATCTGTTTCTTGACGACGTCAAGAATTACAAGATAACATGCATGGCGCCACTTGTTGGAAGGGTGGTGATGTCTGATTACAATTTCTTTTTTCCAAGTTGAGTGCATTGTTATTTTATTCGAAAAGGATTCTGAAAATTAATGTTATCAACTTCAATTGTTTTTAAGTTGCTTAAAAGCTAATATAAGTTTCCCTTTCAATATCATTTCACTAAAACCCACTTTCTTTTTTCCGTTGATGTGTCCACCATGTAATAGTAATAAAAACAAAAATCCTTCACTAGCTAAGCATGTATTAGATACGGAAACCTTTTGAACTTATTTAGTCTCTGTTTAATTTGGCTAAAAATCAAAGTTTTAGCAGATTTTAATAAAAGTTGATAAAAAATTGTGAGTCTCTCATCAATTGTATGATTGAAATGTGTCTGATCAATCGTTACATTTGGATATTTTGTTTAATTTACTACCTTGCAATAACTGGTTGAGAATTACAGAGATTATCTAGCGGGACGACAGTTGAACCATTTATAGTTAATGAAATCTTATGTTTTCAAAAAAATGGAACGTCATTTGTACACGAATAAAAGCTGCAATGATGGTAACGCGAAATTGATAATATAAAATAAAATGATGAATGTCATCATTTCATCATTGTAACATGCAAAATACAACTTAAACCCTTCATTGTGATTCGTATTTAAGTGTTTTGATAGAATGAGGTTAAAAATGTGGCCCGGTTGTGTCTAACTTGGCCCACACCAATTTCATTTTCTCATTCATGCGTTAAATTGAGATTTGGATTGCTTAACATCATTTCATGCACAAATTGTCCCCATGCGACACAATAAATCTCATATTATTATTCATATTTGAACATTTGAAATACCAATTATAAGCATTCTGAACAATTTATATACCAGACTTTAATAGCATGCAAATTACACCCACGAATAAACTATTTCAACCAATAGCAAATCTATGAGATCGTCAGTTTAAATGTCTTTCCTGATATTTACCAAGTGTTGAGTTTAACATTTTAAATGTAGATCTTGATAGTTTAGTTTGACAGTTGAACTGTTGGTATCTATGGCTACAACTGACGGGAAGCATTTAATGGGTGTGATTGGTTGACATTCTTCATAACATTAAGTGTGTTCAAGGTAAGGTTGTCGTTAACATAAAGAAGTGTCGATCAACACTATGTTTTTGATTGAGATCATCATGTTGTATGTTTTGATGAATATCCGTCATGGCAAATGTAAGATTTTGGAAATTTGTATCACTCCCCATGTCAACAATTAAAAGCTCAATTTTCAAAATGTAACGTATATAACAGTTTTTCTAATGAACTGATATGTACCCATTGAACTCTTCATCTTCGCATATTTCGGTCGGAGGTATATTCATGTTCGAGATTTTGAATTTCAATTCAATTTGAGTATTAGGGTCAAGAATACAAAGTTTGTTCTTCAATTGTAACACAGTTTGATTAGGGTAATACTTGTCGGAACTATACTCTCCACTTTCATTCGTTTTCCACGTGAACGAACTTTTCTCCATACGATACGATGAATCTTAACTGATTACTCATACCTAAAATATTAGCAGCTTGTTTGATAGATATTTTAATTCAATTAAAATCAATTTTTTGACCATTATATCACTATTATAGCCATCATTTTTGAATTCTTCTCTCACGAGTAGGGCCCACTTTATCTCTGACGGTTAAAAAATCAATTAACAAAATCCTTACCAAACAAGCACTAGAACTGCAACGGTAAGAATTCTACACAATCCATATGTCGACATTTAATACCATCAAAGTGGAACTTTCGAATATTTAAATACATGTAATAGCAAAATGTGAAATCAAGGATTTCCAACAGTTTTCAAGTATCGAATTCGACAGCTAAACTGTCTATTTCGATAGTTTGTGAATGTCGAGGTCGACGGTTAAGATGTCTAACCCAATGGTAGGAATGTCAACGAGTTGAGTTGAGCAGGCTTGTGAGCCGAAACTTGAGGCTCGGGCTCGACTCGAGTAAAATGTGCGAGCTTTTTTTTTAGCCCGAGCCAAGTCAGACAGGCTCGCCTTTTTCTTTGCTCTTTTTTTTTTAAAAATTTTTTTTAAGACAGTCGCTGGACCACCTTTCAAGACAGCATTTTGCTGCCTCCAAGTTTAGTGTTTTTTTTTTAATGACTCGCAGGACAGCTTGGGTTAGCCCGTTCATCCAAATTGGGGCTCGGCTCAAGCTTAGGCTCAGTTCTTCCGAGCCTCAAGTCGGGTCGCCTCGGGCTTTTCCCGGGCCGAGCCACGGGCAGCTCGAGTTGACGAGCCAAATTGTCGTCCCTACTCAACAATTGCGAAAATGTTATTTGAACTGTCGAAACTGCTGGGAAGCTTAAAAACATGTATTTGATATATTGGAAGAAAATATTGAAAACATTAATAGTCATAATCAATTCTCAACCACAATTTCACGTTATCTTCCTAAAAATAAATAAGGAATAACTCATTAAATATGAAGTCTTTCACCTTTTGTGAAGGATATTGATATGTTTACTCTTCAAAAATATTTTAAACACCAAACAAATCAATAAATAAGAATTTCAAAAATTTCAAATAAATATGACCATGTAGTATTTAACATTAAAAATAATAATCTATAACATGAAAATGTAAACAATTTCATATTACCCAATATAATAATCATATCTTCCATGTCGTAACATGCAAAACAAATCATCAAATCACAACATTAATGACATTCAAATCGAGCATTAAATGCTCTTAAAAATGTGTCACTAAGGGTAATATGAACCTTCCACACCAAAATGTAACATTTTTTTACCATCTTTAGTGAAAATGAATTTTTTTTCTGAATTTTCTAATTTAGTGATATTTATGAAAATTCCCCTAATTTTATTCATAAATAAATAAAAAAGATGTATTTGATTTTCAAGTACAAAAGAAAACAATGTACTATACATTTATTGTTTCCTTATAAACAATTTAATTTATAAATAGATAGAAATTAGTAATGAATGGTACTTGTAAGTTCATTAACATGTGTTGTTTAAAACAAGGTGCGACTATTTGTAAATAATTACAAATTTTATGAAACGGAAACTAATTTATCATCTATTGTACTATAATGTTAGCATGTCATGTAATCTAAAAGGCCTGCCCAAGCGAGAGAGAGAATAAATAAATAAATAAATAACAGTATGTCTTAGGGCAAGACAAGAAAATAAGCGATCAACTCTCCACTGATCAACTAAAATGCAACTAGACGAAAAATGTTGTATGCCTTTCTATTTAATGGATAGAAAGAACCGTCTCCATAACACCAATAGGAGAGGGCGCCCTGGCAAGGACAAGTGTTGTTGAGGTACCGGTACAACCAAGTGCACAAACAACTTTAATGATTTATATGTTGCTAAGAAGAAAGGTAAAAATTATTTACCAATAAATTATTACGCAATATGTAATTTTTTTATATTTAAGTCTATCCTTCAAAAAGCACATCGAGTTTTAAAACTTAAAAAGAAATACGTCCAAAAAATCCCAACTCATCCCCGATCATTTTTAGACTATATCATGTTTATGTTCAAAATCAGAGCATTCGCAATGTAAGCAAGAAATCAAAGCATTCATTCTCTCTATTTTGTTTATTTGCCCAATTTATGTTCTTAATCTTGAACGACTTTGACTCGCCACGACAAGGAGAGTTCAGCAAAATTTAATTCATGCTCGTATCTAAGTAATTAATTACTAAATAATTATATGATTAGTGATTAGTGATTTATATTTTCACTGAAAACTTAAAATTCTAGAATAATTAAATTAATATAAAAAAATATACTATTACGCCAAAGCTTCACCTAGACATACCTAGGCTCGTAAAGCTTGACCTCCACGCCTTACGACACTCATGTCTTTTAAAGCATTGCGCATATCTTGTAAAGTGAAATAAATGTGGAAAAAAAAAGTTCAAATATTGTTCGTATTGTAGACGTAGTGTACATTTTTATATTGCATGCCAAGTATATATTCCATTGTATAGGTGTCAAAATGGGTAGACCTATTCGGACTGGCCCACCTACAACCAAGCCAAATTCAACTCCGTTATCAGATCCAACTAAAAAGGAATAATCCATTTGTACCCGACGTGTGATGTGAGTGAGGGGATCGGGCCCCACACATTTATTGGCGTGGAGCCACAACCCCCATGTGAGTAGCAGGGAAATCGGAGTGTCAAACTCTAAGTACATGTAGCAAAGTTGATCTAAAAATACGAATCAGGTAAAGCCCCAACTGTCTGAAATAATCCAACCATGGTACAGGTCCATCGCATCGGGATTAGCAACTACCCAACACTTGGCATAACCTAACCTCAAAGAAGGTTCATAGGGAAATGCAAGCAAATCAATGTCGATCAAAGGTTAAACTCGGCTTCATGGGATTTGGTCAGCATTGCAATATACTAACAACGAATGACAAATTCTGATAAAATATAATCAAATGCATAAATATCCATAAACGCACACCAACTCATTCCTGCAAATATCCATGTCCAAATAGTGAGAGTGATTATTCATTTACTTATGAATCAACCATGGTTGTCTCATTCCAAAATAGGTAATCATCTCAAATAACATTGAAATGTATCCACCCAACTCCATAGCGCAAATGATACATATCCCTTAACTTATAAAATCAGATTGATTCTAAGAAATTATCCCCATCTTAAATTTCAAGAGGAATAGAAGTGATTCATCCATATAAAACTGAAACAACCAAATTAGCAACAAGAAACTGCAAGCATCACTCTTAAACTCAGCATGTATATCAAAAACTTTCATACTGATAATAATATAAATTGAAAAAAAAAAAAAAATTCTAACATTTCATTTGAAGCCCCTTCAAACTGATTAAAGGCTCCACAAAGATAAACTTAAAAGTCAATCTCAACAATCACGTAGCAACATGTATATCCAGTGTTTGATTTCAGCGTTGTCCAACAAAACGATCTCTTTGTTGAGTTGAATAACTTCTCAACTAAAACCTGCCAATTACCATAATGGAAGTGCAAATTTCAGCCTTGGATTATTGAATGTAAAATTGACATTTTACAAGCATATACGGAAGCAACAGCATAAGAAACAAGTTATCTCACTTCAATAAAATATGAGTTCAGATAACACTGGTTTGATTCAAAAAAACTGGTTATCTCATACAGTTGCTATATTTTAGGCAAAATATGTTGGCTTCCCTCGTCTTGGATGGCATGTGTGATACTCATAGAATATGTAGCAAAAATGATAATCATACATAGAATATAAATAAAATTGTGATTGATGCTTTTGCATATGAAATAAGTCAACTTATCCTTATCCTCATCCTATATTTTTCCCATGTCAGATATTTTGCTCTTGTTTAGAATATACAAGCAACATATTTGCTCTCATTGCTTATCTTATACTCTCGTCTTCCAAGATATAAACTAAAGAAATTTATAATACAATACGCTCTTGTCAAGAATGTCCAAGCAAAAATATGCTCTTAAAGTTTCAAACTAAATTAGCAACAATATAGTTCATATCCTTATAAACATAATCACCATCATCATAACCAGTGCCTCTTATTTCGAATCTATATTCGATAGTGATAATCTAAAAAGAGCTCAGGATGGTTCATTAGTATTCTTTCATATTTCAGAAGCACATGATCCTTTTCCACCAGAGCTCCTCTTTATGGAGTGTTATGTAGTAAGGGCACAGTAACTCTGACAACCTGATTCGCCAGTTTCAAGTTCTCACGGCTTGAGAAATTACACAATGAAAAGAAAACACTCTCTACCAAAGCTAAAATCTACTTATGCAGTAAGGGCACATTCTTTTGCATTACATTGACTTAGGCAAGTAAACAACGAGGACTGTGAGAAGTCTTCAACTTCTATGATCGATAGACTTATAATCTCATTTCCTATGTGTCCATTCCATTTGATCCATATCCCCATAAATAATTCCAGAATAACATTCATTGCACTTTCGCAGTCAAATACCTCCAAATTGAACAATTAGAATAAAGAAGAACAAAATTAATTCCATGTTCTTCAGAGGCATTTCCAGTTGTTTTTCACACACAACAGCCAGGACATTCATGTACTTAACAAGATATAGAAAAAACCCACAAATAATAAACCTCATAGAGATTCTTGGCTTACATTTATAGATAAATAGCAGAGGTATCGTGAGCAACGCGACATTTCAAGAGACATATCCCCAAGTCAACAGATAATTCCTAAACCAACTTACAAAATCCAATAAACGTCATCCAAGGTTTATGTCGAGGCCTTATGCCAAAAAAAAAAATAATAATAATAATAATAATTATTATTATCAATAAGATTTTACAGTATAAGTTTTCTGAAAGGATATTTCAGTATCTGTATTAAAGAACTAAAAACTCCTCAAACATAAAAGTAATAACAATCACTGAAGCTATTCAAAGTCAAGCATGGGTCACTTTTGTGATCCTATGGAAATGAGCCCACCCAAAAAGCAGCGTTGACATTGCACCAAAATGCTCGATAGTAAACCAATTCATTACATAGGAGAAGTCTACCAGTAACATTAGACCTTAAAATATGTTAGGCATAAAACTACAATGCAGGTTAACTTTCAATACAAATAAATACAAATAAGTAGTCACCTTAAAGTGATAGAAACTCTAGTAAGTAGTAAATGTATAAACGAAAGGATGATTTTATACAAACCTGGAGATACAGAATTAGCATTCAAGTTACGATGAAGAATCCGGCTGGTACCCATTTCCGAGGACTCAATCAGCTCCCTCAACCCCATATTCCCCACCTTCTCCTCCTCTTTTTCCTTCCCTTTTCCATCCTCATCCTTCACGTCATCATCATCCCTTTCCTTCTTTTTCTCCATACGCCTCTTCGCCGGATTCACTCTCTCAAAATAATTCCCATAAATATACTCCGGGGCATACCCATTCTCCTCATCAAACAACATGATATGCCCGTGCCACTCCCAGACCCGATAATCTGTCCCAGTCTCCTCATGAAACCCGACACAAATGTGATGCTCCCCAATCGTCACAGCTTGACCCGAATTGGGCTTCAACTTTTCAGTTTCCCCACTGAGAATAGTTCGGACGATCTCCTTTTCGAGTCTGGACTCTTCCTTTGCCAGCTGGGTCCTGTCGGACTCGTTTTCGGAATCGGAGTCGGAGAGGTTGAGGAAGGTATCGGAAAAGAGAAGGTCTTCGAGGGATTGATGAGTGAGAAAAGGCGGCGGAGGGGTTAGAGGAGTGTGGAGAGTTGGGGGTCTGATTTGGAGGCGGCCCATAAGGGACTGGAGGTGGAGATTATCGAAGTTGGGTGTGGTGGTGGAGTTAAAGGAGCTGCCCATGGTGGCGTGAGATTGGATTGGAGGGGTTTTTGGAGGGTTTTCTGAGTTGGGTAAAGAACAAATATCAGAGATTACAAGACAGATAGATAGTTGCAGATTTTGGAATAATTTGCTGACTATGTGGCGATATATTATTATTTTATGAAGGATTGTATAATAAAATTTAATTTAATAATAACTAAATAAGCGCCAAGATATTTGACTATGCATACAAACTGTAGAATTACTTGTAAATAACTTTTCAATCTAGAACTTTTAATTTTAAATTATGATTTTAATTTCATTTTGAGTTAATTATTATCTTTAATTTTGTCATTATTGAGAAGTTTATTTAGCCCCGTTTAATTTCTATTCCATTATATTTAATTTTTCTTTCTTCACTTTTTAATTACACAATTTTGTATAAAATAATATTATACGTAAATCGAAAATTTTTCCTTTTTTTTAACCACTTATTTTTCAAAAAAATATTATTTCACCCAATTTCATTCCACAAAATGAGGGCCAAACGGGGACTTATTATTTAAATTTTATTTACCACTTTTAATACGAGTTGCTAGCCTTATGACAAAAAAAAATGTGGAGTGGAATTTGAATTGAACTTTCAACCGTTTAGATTTCCCCAATTTCTTAAATTCTTATATTTGATATTTAAAAATCGAAGAGTCCAATTCTTTGTATTAATTCGCGAATCAAAGAGTTTGGTGCCTAAATTTCTAGTATTCTTAAGAATCAACAAAAATTAGAAGATGATCGTATTTTGATATTCGTTTGGAATCAACGAAATTTCGACATTGTATTCATTCATCTTCATTATTTTATTGCTAGCGCTACATCCGTTGGTATCATAGTTCTGTTCGATCCTCATAGTGTTCATGAAATTCAATAACAAAAGTTATGACATAAAATTTTTGTTCCTTTCAATTCAAAGAAATCAACGGACATAGATTTGGACGAGGACCATGATGGTCCGTCAAATTTTTACGAAGATGTTGAGATTTGAATTAAGCGTGCTTTTGATTGTTAATATTTTCCATCAAAAATGTCATTTTTCCATGTAAATTCCTACTCTTATGATTTTTGATTGATATTTTTTCCATGAAAATTATTTTCCTACCTTTGGTCATGTGACAATATTTTTCTTGAAAACAAGGACAATATTTTCTTTAAGGGGAGTGAATTTTTATTTTTTAGGTAATATTCTCTCTCTCTCTCTCTCTCTCACAACACACACACATTCTACCTACCAATAAAAAATTGATAAATATAATATTTTTTAAATTGAAAATAAAATCAATTAAGCACATTTAAGTGACAATTTTCATGCAAATAATTTCTATGCAATTCAATTATCTAGAATTTATTGTTTCCATGTAAATTCTATACTTGTAATCAAACACACCCTAAATAAAAAGTTTTGAGAAGTTTATCAAATTATTCTCTCTTTTTTGGTATTTGATCTTTCAAATCGATGAGTTTGAGTTTTGTGAGGTTTGTTATTTCCTTTAAGTAGGGCCGCGCAAAACTAACCCAAAATCGCTCAAACTGATCAATCCAACAAAAATCGCTCAAACCGATCTATCCAACAAAAATCGATCAATTTGGATTGATTTTTAATTTCAATTGAGTTTGGTTGGAAAATCAAATTTGAGGTTGGGTTGAGTTGAGTTGAGTCTTAAGTTATGAATTAAAATTCAACGCAACTCAATCCAACTTGATGGAAAAAAAAAAAAAATATATATATATATATATATATATATATATGGAAAAATCGAAACTAATCCTAGTAAGAGCAGTTAGAAAAGGAGTCCAAACAGACTAATGAACGATTCGGTGTCTTATTATAACCGTCCACAACGTAACTAATTTAGCGTGGTACGGTAGTTTAGTTAAGGTAAGACTACTAAATAGAGGTCTCTAGTCACTATAAATACAACACTTCATTGTAGTTAAAAGGTACAAAATTCTCGATTTATTTACTATTTTGTATGATAAGCACTTTACAAAATTAAGCATATTGGCGTTGTCAATTGTGCTTGACCATTCACCCACACCTTTGTTAAGGGTATTATACATCGAGCTGTCCAAAGAACGAATTGACTTCTGACTATAACAAAAATGATAACACCTATATATTAACATTTTGTACCAACCTATTGTCTTGAGGAAGAATCTTACAGACCATGAATATCTACGAGCCCAAATCAAAAATGGAAACTAAATGATGTGCTTGTTAAAATATTCTAGCAACTCAGAAAATTGCTTGTGCGTAATTCGAGCACATTTGGTAAAGCCTAGATATTTAGAAGTAAATTTACTCCCGTGTGAACTTTTTAAATTTAGTACACATGCTCTATTTCTCATTAAAAACAGCATAAATCGACCAGTCCAAACCGATCCAAACTTTATCGATTTGGATTGGGTTGGATAAAAAAATATATCCAACCCAATCCATTCCCAGCCTTGCTTATAATTTTTTGTTACATCACAATTTTAATTCTTCTAAACGAAGTAAAAACAAAAGTCATATCAAATAAGACTTGAAAATATCAATTCTTACTGCTTGGGAGGTCCCAAAAAAGAGGAAATTGCACAATAGCCGGCATTTAAAGATTACTTTTCAAAATTCAAGTACAAACTTTAATTAATCATAAATCCGGTATATTATCATTAATTAACCTCAACCAATCCCCAATTCCATTTTCAAACCTAAATCTCTCTCTCTCTCTTTCTCTCCCTACCATCTTTTCTTGACTCTAAACCTAGACACAACTATAGATTTGCCCGATCAATGCTGTGGAGTTGATGCTATGGTGAGTCTGACGTGGTGTGGTGAGAACAATCGGTGGTAGTGGTGCGAAGGGTGATGGTGGTGGCGACGATGACGATAGTGCATCGATGCAGCTACGCAACGACAGCGTCATGACGTCGTGGAGTCGATGCTATGGCGAGATTGACTCCAATCAGTCAGGTGCATGAGAACGACAGCAAGTGATAGTGGTGAGCTGGTGTGATGGATCTAGGCAGCTGCGAGGTTTGGTGAGAATGATAGCTGGTAGTAGTGCGGTGTGGTGATGGTGGGGGTGGTGCATTGATGTGGCCGATCGACCTACTGTACTCTACTTCGCAGTTCATCACTTGCCTCCACAACACGATTCCTGTCATTACTGTCAACCACAAATATGATCCCCTGGGCGTTTTCGAAATAGTGCCTCCATAATGGACGGATCTGTGAATAGTTCTGCTTGTGTTTTGTGAGTGAACCAGTTGTTGTGAGGTAGTAAGGGTGGTGGTGGTTGTGGTGGCAATGACGGGTGGGTGTGTGTGACCAACAATTAGGTGTTTGTGACCAACTATTTAGACATCCGTGACAAATGATTAGGTGTCCGTGACTAACTATTTAGGCATATATGACAAATGATTTAGGCGTCTGCAACCAAAAATTAGTGGTGCGATGAGGGTGACGGTGTTATTGCGATTGTTGGTGTTTGCTAGCGGTGGTGGTGCACTGTGAATGTAGTGTGGTGTGCGGCGGACCCGCAAAGGTGGTGCTTGTGGGGGTGCAAGTTGGTGGTTGCCGGTGTTTTTTTTGTTGGTGGTGGGCTGTGACCTTAAAATTTGGTCCGTGACTTTAAAATTGATAATTTGTGACGAAAAAATAATCCTGAAGTCAACAATTTGGTCCGTGACTTTAAAATTTGATAATTTGTGGCTAACAGACAATCTATGATTTGTGACGTCAAAATAATCTATAACCTACAAAATTTTTAATTCGTAACCTCAAAAAAATTCGTGACCAATTAATTTGATGATATGTGACCAGTAAATAAATCTGTGACCCATAATTGTGAATTTGTGACCATTAATCATGTAACTGTGACTTTATTATATTTAATTAATAAATTTTCAATTAATTAATTATATAAAAATTTGAATTTTGAATTTTTAAACTTTGTACCTAATTTGTGAATTAGTGTAAACAATACATCTTACATATGAATTTTTTTCCCCAAAAAATGGAAAAAGAAAGAAATTTTTCGACCGCCGTATCTAGGACCTGTAAATCCAGCAATTATGGGCCTGAACCAGGCTATCCGAAGCAAGTCCAGTCCATATCAAAAATACCAAAAAATAATCAATATTCTTGCTTCAGTCCATTAAAAATCTTGAGTCCGTCCAGCTCAACTTGTGGTTTCTCTCCCTTATCATTCATTTATCATTGAAAATATTAATAAGGGAAATTCTCATCCACCGTCCCCAAACATTACATCTTATTGCACTTAAGTCCAATATATTTTTTACTCACATTTTGCTTTAGGTGTCTCCAAACTGGTATTTTGGTGCACATAAGATTGGAAATCATTCAACTTTCATCAAATAGTCACTTAAAAAAAAGAAGAGCTTCGAGCATCTCCAATCACTTTATAAATTGCAATATAGATGACAAACAAATAGAAAGACTTTCGCTACTTAGGCAACAATGGCTAATGAATAGATCATTCCGTACAAATTTCATCTCTAATGTATTTTGTCTATAACTCAAATTTATTTAACCAAAGATAAGAAGCAAATTTTTGCTTGCTCGCTCTTCTATTATGTCTATTTTTATTGTCACATCAGCTAGATTGAGTTTCACTTCAATTGCATTCAATAAATTTTTTGGTGAACATCATCTATTCTTATTTGTGTGACATGTTTTATGCAATTCACGTAAGTATTAAAGGTGCTCGTAGGTTACGTATCTTTAGGTGATCATTTGTTGGGAAGTTGAATAATTTTTGTCCATTTATCTTTATGTGAGCAAACAAAGACAATTTAGAGACATGAATGGAGTTAATTAAATAGTCAATCACTAACATTTGACATCGATTACTACTTACTCACCCAAAAATAAAAAATTATCGATTACTCATCAGCTTTTGGACAAAGTTACTTATTTAACATCCACCTAAAATCATCATCCGACATGGATAAAAAAAAATAAAAATCCACATGCCAGACGAAAATTATACGTGGACGTAACGCTGTTAAATTTTTGATAGCTTGGAAAATTCAATTTAATCAAAATAACTTTTTTCTTTCAAATATCCAGCAGTG